ATGGATCTTATCAAGGTGCTGGATAATGGTATATTTCCTATTTTACAGAGTATGACAGTAAGATAACTTCCAGTAGTGAAACTGTGAATGAACATACTATTACATCTGCTGTTACGGCTGTTTCAACTTTGTCAACAGTCAACAGGGATGACTATATCACATCATTACCATCCCGAATGTCAACGCCACTAGCATCGTTAACATTAACATCAGTTTTAATATCATCCTCTTCAAAATTATCATCATCATCGTCGTCGTCGTCGTCGTCATCATCATCACCACCATCACCACCCCGAAATTCACCATCGTCTTCATCACCGTCGTTTTCGTTATCATCACCATCATTAACAACATCATCATTGTCATCACCACTACTATTATCGTCCTCGTCACCGTCGTCATCATCATCCCCATTCACAAAATTACTATCTTCATCCTTATTATCATTATTAACGTCGTCATCAAGAACACCATGGTCATCCACATCATCCTCATACTCATACGCATCACTATCATCGTCGTCATTATTATCGCGGTCGTCATCATCACCACCAAATTCACCATTATCTTCGTCTTCACCGTCGCGGTCGTTATCATCACCATTATCACCATCGTCTTCCTCGTCTCCGTCATCATCATCCTCATTCACATCAATATTGTATTCATCATCTTCATTCCCATTATCATTATTTACGTCATCAACAAAACTATGGTCATCGGCATCATCCTCATATTCACCCCCACTTTCAACATCACAATCAACGTTGTATTTATCATCATCGTCGTCGTCGCTGTCGTCGTCATTACCATCATCATCATCACCATTATCACTGTCGTCTTCGCCACCACTGTCGTCATTATCATCGTCATCTGCATTCACATCATTATCACCTTCATTCTCTTCATCCTCATCATCGTTGTTAAGGCCATTATCAACAACTCCATCATCGTCATCCTCATTATCTTCATACTCATCCCTGTCAACTGACCAACATCTCACTGATGTCTATCACCCAACAGATCCACATTTAATTTTAACTGATAAACAGCCGCATGACCAGAATTCAACTGATACACCCCCACAATACACTTACCATCAACAGAATGGAAAAAATCAAACAGAAAAAGGTTCAGCAGACCAACGACCTGCAGTGGAACAAACGACAAGTAATCAACAACATTCACCCAGACAACAACCAATTCACAAAGAAACAACAAATGCAAACTTTGATCGACGAGGAAATACAATTACTCTAACCAGCGAACCGTTTACTACTACGGCAGACAAAATAGACTCAAGTTTGCAAACTGAAAAATATGGAATATCTCCAACTGACCCTAACAAAGTATCAATTTTCAACAACCCATATAAAACGGCTGAAGATAATTTACACAACCCTACTTCATTCTATAACTCCATGACGTCACGTCATCTTGTAGTTGGATCCAAGGCAAAAAATAATAAAAATGATGGTAAATTATTGCTTATTGTAAATATAACAGACAACACATAACACAGACATACATAAAACATTATTTGGTGTTACTTTTTAATGTATATTTCTGCTTTTTATGAATGTTTGTTATTTAAAATGCAGAATTAATAAAATAAAATGGTCCAAAATCAATGATTTTTAAAATCACAATAAAATGATGCAAACATAAAGCTAACAGAAAGTGTTGGTCTATTTTCCCCAATGAAATGGTACGGTACAATAGTCAATAATCCCATCAAAAGGCATAACATGCTTTGATGAAATTGTAAAACACGGTTGTTGGTGAGTCAGGCAGCATCTGTATACTTGATACAATGCAAGCCAACTAAAGTATATTATCAACAGGGGAGAACTCAGGGGCACGAGGGCTAGGGCCCACAAAAAAAGAAACATGGGAGAAAAATAAAGGAGAAAGAGGGGAGAACGATACCAAGCCTACACAAAAGGCAAGCTAGTTTTCGATTTAAATTGTGTGTACACCAACAAGCAATTCCCCCATAGGTCCGCCCTGATCATAACTCAGAATAAACTGAAGTTCATAATCCAGTACTGAGAAAGTACTAAGTTACAAAGAAGAAATGTGTGTCTTTATGGCTGGGCAAAATTTAGTTGAACTCGATAAGAAGAACACTAACAAGTACTTTCTTACAGGTACTGGTGGTGTTACAATACTGATAATAGGATTATGCCTGTGTATTTTTGGAGGTTCATCATTAATTTTTGTTATCATCTTCTTCGTTATCAAAAAGAAGCAAGTTGCTAACTCGACACCAGTGAAATCGGCTACTAATCGTCATTCTTCAGTAAGTGCTTAATCGGATGGTTAATTTTCCTACATATTTAAAAAGTAATATATTGCCAGGTTGGCGTATTAAATGTGAAAAATATAATTAATAAAAATTGAATTCAGTAATTATTTAGTTACGATATGAAACACATAAATTTCATAGTATAAAGTTTAAAATCACTGATGTAATATCTATAAAAAAAAAATATAAAGTAAATTATTTTTTATATGGACCACCAGAAATAAGCACGGTTGCACTTCTTTTCTAGTTACTAATTAGAATAGCAAATTCAAATTATACTAAACAATACTACACTAATATTCTTTCTTTTTTTATAGAATGCTACTGGATTAGACTTCGATAACCCAGCATATAAAATATACGTTTTGGAGGAAATAGATAAAGAGAGCACAACTGCGAAACACATTTCAGATGTTTTCATTTCAGACAGCAAGTTGTGAAAGTTCAGATTGTGGCTAGAGTGTATAGCAATTTTATTTCTTAGGCAATAGCTCCATTAAAATTATCTGATGATAAACTGGCTGGTCAAATGGTTTCTCCTCAATTTACAAGCAAAACAATGTTATTCTATGAACAGCCAATGCAAGGAACCTGAACAAACAATACAAACAAACAATAGGAACATTCGAATCTTCAATTGAAATTTAATATCTTGGCTAGGGCCTATCGTAGCTCAACACACACAGTAGCCTAATATCTTCAAAAGTTGTGGCTGCTTCAATGGGGCAGCCGGCTCAAGGTGCGATAATCATGGTGTGAAGTTTCGCCTCTCTTGCAGCCATAATCATGCACTGTGCACATTATTTAAACGATCTACCACTGGATGCATAATTCGGATGTAGAAACCAGTAGTCAAATCGAAGTAGTAAAAGTTGAATAATGCAAATACAGTGCAGCAAGCTTTAACGGTGCAGCAAGCTTTATAGGTATCTCTGTAAATTGTATAGTAACACTACTGACAGGCAATACTTTATTATTTTAAAATCAGAATATCATAATACATTCAAAGAAACACGATGGTTAGGTGGACCCATCGACATTAAAAAGTCAAAATGAAGATTAATATAGATGTATAGAGTTTCCATAGTGTTTCAGATTTCAGTCTTTTTTCAATGTATTTCCGGAATTATCCAGTGGTGTACACAATATGCCTGCCACCAACGACGCGCGCGCTCAACGGATCGTTTTTATTCACGATCCGTTCAGACTGCCACCGACAATCGTTTGCATTCCAATTCACTGTCTATTCGCAACGAAAGGTACTGCCATCGTCTATTCTTTTTAATTTGTCTGTCAACTACAAATTTCAGATTTACTATCTACTGTATTGTATGCCGGCATGCCTATACACATTTAAAGAAAATTGCAAATAAATGCATTGGTTGAAACAATGCATTGATTACAACTGCAACATTATGGAACTTCCCCAGGGACCAGAATGTGTTCGGTCCAATAACCGGGGTAAACATTTCAAGCGCATAGAGGTTTCTACAATATGTAGACCATATTTTTCATGATTCAATCTATTAATAAATCAACTAATCATTTATTTGGTCATTCATTCTATCAACAAAAGCATTCATAGCTCAGTCAGCTAATCTGGTGATGTGTGTGCGCTGAACCATGGTATCTAGTAGGTCCCCGGTTCAATCCCGTCGCTGCCTCTCCTTGTGTTTCAGCTCGAGGATAGCGCAACGTCTTTCGGATGAGACGTTAAGCCGTTGGTTCAGTATGCATTTATGGCCCATGTGCACGTTAACGCAGTACACTCTTCGGATTCTCAGGTGCACTGCCCATTCACCAGCGGAAGGACCCCACTGGATATAAGTTTTCTTCTAGACTATCGTGGGCTATCCTTTTGTGTTTACACCGAATAAATCCAATCCTACCGATCATTCATTTACCAAACCAATCCAATCACTATCAATCATTCTATCAATGAATCATTCATTCTATCATTCATTCTATCATTCATTTATTCTATCAGTAAATCAATCTTCCATTAATTGTATCATTCAATCAATCGCCATTTCAACAGTAGGGTTGGTTTAACAAATACATCCGAAAGACATTACTACGAAGGCAGATGTATAAATTGTATTTACATTTGACAGTTTACAAAACTCACTGAATTCATATGAATATTAATTATAAATATCTTTTGCACTATGTGAATGTTTTTTGCACTACGTGATAATGATCGTTATTAGAAATGCTGCCAGCATAAGTGACGCAATCAGTCCAACTTCTTGTGAGCCGTTGTTGACCTCCAGATCCACAGTAATTATAGGCCTATTCGGAATCTGGTTTGTCTCCTGAGGAAGAAAATGCATAAATTATAAATTTATAAATTTATTGTATGATGTTACTATATACTATAGTATATACTATATACTACTATATTTATATACTATTCTTGTACAGGACCAATTTCCGATACATCCGTACCTCTTCAGATTCAATGTTAACACACTCGAAAATGACATCGGAGTATACTTCAGCTGGATTATTACAGACGCAGTCGAGAGTATCCATGTTGTGCGTCGAACCTTCTGGACAACCTCTGAATACCATCCTGAAGTTCATATTTGACGAAGATGAGGTGCTGGCTAAGACGTCCCGACGCACAGCCCTCTTGCGTCTGGTGTTTACTGTTTGCGTCAATTTGAAGACGTTCGTAATGGTGTAGTTTCTAGCCTGTCCCGACAATGCTCTATTCACAAAGGTGGTCACGTGTTTTTCATTGGAATGATCATAAGTATGAGATTCGAGCGTCTGGAGAAATAATGAATGTAGTAATATATTTGATATGTTAATGTGTAATATGTTTTAGTAGGTATGTCAAGCAGTTCATTTTACTCTGCTCATAACCCATGTTCATAACGCCGTTGTCTTTTTTTAACGCCGTTATGTTTTTTCAATTCCAATCAATCACAAGCTTTAAACAGCGCCTAAAGGACCATAAAAGCGCCGTTAACTTGTTTAAGAAACTGCGCTCCGTAACAATAGCAACGCCGAAATTATAAGATGGGCCGAAAAGGGCCATAATGAAACCGGCGTCACGTTAATTTTAACCAATCACAAGCTTCAACAGTGCCGAAAGGTCCATCATAAAAAAAACTCCTTTTAGTTTTATTTTAACGCTGTTGCTTTGTTCACTTTCAACCAATCACAAGCCTGAAATTGTGCCGAAAGGGTGAAAACGCCGTTCACATTAGTATCTGGCGCAAGGGCCAGACATTCAGAAAATCACATTCCTTCTTTCATTTATTTGTACTAGTATCTTGGCGCACACAAAGCAAAGGTAATAAAATACAAGATGCTTACTCATTACGAAGATAAATTATTATTATGGCCCTTTCGGTGCGTTTTAAGCTTGTGGTTGGTTGAAATTAACGAGTTGCTCCGTTCTCATTATGGCCTTTTTGGCCACCCTATAGTAATATTGAACAACGTAACAACGTTGAACATAAAAAGAAACTAATGCCGCTTTTATTATGGCCCTTTCGGCGCAGTTCCAAGCTTGTTTATTTGTTAAAATTTAACATACCGTAACGCCGCTATCATTGATACCCTTTCGGCCAATCATAATTACGGAGTTTAATGAAAGCTTTTAATATGGCCCTTTCGGCCAACCATAGTAAAAGCAACGCATAGTATACCTGCAAGGCCTCTTCTATGATTGACGGCGTGTACACGCTGTTGTCTTTTTCAAAAAAGAAGTCTTCTGCTATGTAGGCCGAGTATCTGTCATTTTCGGGAGCAGCTAAACAGCCCTATAAATTACAAAAAAACGCAACAGGAAACGGTAAACAATGGCTTTTTAGGGGGAGGGGAACACGGAAATTTAATAATTTGGTAGCTACCTTCGGCTGCTTGAACTATTTTTCAAATGTCTTATATACATACGAGGTGGGTAGGTGGGTACTAATACAATCATATGAATGCTTGGTTTAAGTATTATAAGAATATTAATTCCTAGGTGAATCCATATTAATAACTGGTAATAAAAACAGTGACAATAAACAGGTATTTTCTACAATTGTCTCTTCACCCTGCATGGGCTGGTTGGAGGTGAATCAGGAACGAAAATGTAGTGCTGGATATGGCCTAACGAGGAAAAATCTATCTTGGAATTGAGGAAATTGCTATGATATATAAACAGAAATGTGCATTCAGCTATTCCTTCTGAAATGCGCGTTATATAAATTGTAAAATAGAAATATAACACGAAAACATACCATATCATTAGTTTCGTATTCATCTCCAATGCAAACCATAAACAATGTAAGCTCAAGCTCTAATTGTTGTCTTAGAACCTCGGGAAAAAAGTGACTTTCCACGTAGACAGTCTCCAGATGAGATACGCCAGGGGCGAAGCCTTCTCTTAGATCAGTGTTCGGGTTCAAAGATCCATACAGCCTCTTTAGTAATACTCTAGGATGTGGAAAATCGAGTATAAACATAGATGAAACAATTTTGAACTGTAGACAGGTGTTAATGCTGGTTCATGGGCACTAAACGTCGTGTGGATTCACTGGTTATCATTTGGAGGAAAAATATACATTAATTTAAATCAATGTTATTAATTTCTCTTGAAATAAAATACACAAAAATATTTCAAGAAAATACTATAGTTATGAACAAAAACCATAATTTGGGAACCAAGTGGCAGATGCAGGAATTTGAAATAGAGGGGCCCAGAGTATGCCACCTCAGCCCCACCATGGTTGGGGCCGAGGATAGACAATATACGGTTATGTCACCAGAAATGGTAGGCCTACTCAAGTTATGCTTTCTCATTGAATGCGCCACTGGAACAAAAAATTCAAATATCGAAGTAAAGGTTCAGATTACTGTACATAAGCAGATTAATATGAACCTTTACTTTGATAATTCGGAAACCAGGAAATTGAATTCATAAATATATACATCTCATCTTCGCATACCTCAGGCTTTTTTTATTCTTTAATTTCTTTTATTGTATCATTCTACTTTTAAAAAAAACCAACAAAGGAAGGTGATCTTTACTGACAGATTAATTACCTATTGTTGTACACCGACCTCGACGACATATAGAATTGTTAATATTATGTGATGTTTAACCGGCTGACGTACCTGGGTGTATCAATGTCGCCATCCTCTATGTCAACAACCGACTGGAGGGATACAAGGTTCGAAATTATCGCATCTGGGATATCAAGTGCTTCGCAGGTGGCCTTAACGCCAGATCGAATGTCAGGGCAAGTGTACGTTAGAAATTTGAATTCGAATTCACCTGTATCAAAGAAAAGGTCGTAATGTAAAAGCATGCATATTCTTATGATAAAACTATTTATGGATGCAACATAATCATACCTGTAGCGTCGAGTGGCTGAGAACTGTCCGCCGACAACGGTACATCCACATACAATACAACACCAAAAGTCCATCGCTGTGTACACCTGCCCGAGTACTCGGTAAAATCGCATGATGGTGCCGTCATTACTTTATTGTTAGCAGGCAATATTCGGTAGCAACCCAGAATCTCGAATCGTAACATTGCAAAGTTTTCAACGGTGTCCGGAACAATCCTGATAGCACGTACTGTAACTGGATCGGCGAAGTAGTTTGGCACAGGTGTACCTGCGTCAAAGTTGCCATTGAAAATCTATAAAATATATATATATATATATATATGCTCAATCGATTTGTGACACCTGGCTACGTCCTACGATATATGATTTCATGCAAACACAAAAAGCGAACGAACGCGGCCAAGAATTCCAATCCCATTTAAAGTAATACTATAATACTATATATTTAGATCTGAAATTTATTTAAGTAGATTCTTACAATTGTTTTGTTTTTTTTTCCGAAAAAAAAATTAAATTTGCTGTATAACGTTGGCTGGATCTATTGAACTGCCAAATTAATGTTTCCAAAGAATAGCATATGCTAAGCATACCAATTGGCGAGAATTATTGGTTACAAAAGTTTCTCTGAATACCTTTGGACGTGTGCATGTAAAACAATAGGAAAATTAAATACTGTATTTAATTATTCTTCAAATGAATCGGCCCAACGCGACACTTGATTAATGTCTCTGCGATTGTAATAAAGCCAGGTCAAGAGAATGAAGGATGGTGTACACATGAATTTTCTAAGGTATAGATCTTTAATATAAAAACCGGGATGGGGAAGGAAACCTGTAACTCTTTTTTTCTTTTTTTTTATCAGCCACTCCCGAGTTTTTAACTCTCCTTCAATGTCTTGGAAAATCGTATACAACTTATCAGTTCTCCAGAGCCTGGCCTGGCTTAAAGCTATGCTCGTACCATTTGCACAAAAAGTTTTTTAAATGTATTACTCACTATTTCCTCATTATTGGAATCTGTAATGAATGTAAAGATTGGAATACTAAAGCTGTATTGTACTTTGTAGGTTTTAATATATGCGGAAACAAGTTCAGAAACGGCAAATCCTTGTGTGACGAGTCCAGTTACCGTTGTGAAGTCGGAAAAACTAACCTGAAAAATAATTTATTTTAAAGGCCAATAAAATTACAAACCACAACAGTCTGCTCGAGCGTACCTCAATTATGTCAATTATGGGGTGGGGCGAGGTGTTCACATTTTTGGGGGCCTTTTTTTCTAATAAAAATATGTGTGCCTACTGGTAAACACTATATAGACTTGCCTCGATGTACTGATCACCTACGCCAGATGGACTCCAGGCTGAAAGGCCGTTTAGTCGGGCGTTGTGTGGTGGATTGTCTTGAAGGAATGTACTAGCACTTATATCCGAGTTTGGGATGGCATTAGATTCCATGCCTAGTGGATCAGAACAGCCTAACAAGTAAAAAATATGTTTTTGAAATCACCAGGACATCTTTGTGCCTATAAAGGTCACATGCAAGAAGATTACACTAAAATGTACATCAGTGTTGACATAACATTTTGAATATGGGCCACCTATCCTCAAAACTCTAATGTACATTACAATTACCGTTGTCTGGTATAATCGAAACATAGCTCAGCCCGTTGTCTAAATTGACAGGGGTGTACTCCAGTGACAATGGTTTGTAGACCGATATAAGGTACCCATCGGAGTCCGTCACTGTACGGAACACTAGCTCAACCTCGGCACGGGACCTAAAAACAAAAACAAAACACAACACTAAAGAGCAAATACTTTATATTATAATAATTATAATGTAAATTTTAGAAAACATTGAGGTCTAAAATAAAATAGTGAAACAAACCTGTCCAAACCTTGCGATTCGTCAGCGTTAATGAAAACTGGTTTCACGACGGCATACTCGAATATAGGTCGAAGTCTCTCAGTTGAGCTAATAAGAAACCTAATAGAAAACCGTGTTACATATTTGGTAAACTAAATATGAAAAACTATTTATCTGCTGCAACCACACACTGAATTAACTATGATGTAATACCTTGATATGGCGATACGCATCAATGTCCAATACAGAACTGCATGGTTCTGGGTGTAAGTCGGTAGGACGTTGCCGTCATCGTATTTTGGCCGTACATTAGTCATATAAAGGGTTGTATTCAGTTGAATAGACTCGGGGAAAACCGACTGTTGCCAAACGGTGTCGCCATTACTGTCGACACATTCGAAAAGAGTATTCATCGGGCCTGTAAATTAACATTGAATAAATAAAATCAAATTCATTGAATAGCATGACGAAAACCATAGAGAAATGGGGAGGGCAGGGCGAACAAATCATTTGACTTCGGAAACCCTTGGCCCATGGCTGGACGAGAGCTGCTGGTACCGGGTAGCACAGACACCAAGGGACCCTTTGGTTCCAAGAAAGTCATTGATCGAGTTCCTTGTAGTCCACATATCAAGCGCCCTGAGCATCTTAAATTAGATGGATATGTGCGCTATATAAAACTATACTATTATTATTAAATAACTACCTACAGGTAAACTTTGTAATTTTTACAATAAAAACATGAGCCTACCAGAAAAAGAATATGTGTCGTCTCTAAGCTTCACCGAATCACCCGGTGATTTAGTTGCGTATGCTGCTCCGGCTGAATAGCTAGTGAATAGATTCTTGCCACCAGGCGATCCGGGGCGGAACGAGTCGTCGTAAAAATCGTTATTCTACAAAAAAATAATGTTATGACTTTTTTTAATGAACTGTTTATTTAGATTTGTTTATATTTGTAAATATCTATTGTGTTTTGTTCATTTGGATGCACCGATTATTCGATGCATCCAAATAGAAAATATACCTCTATTGTATATTTGTAGTTTTATATATGTACTCGTGCGCCACTTTGATTTCAATTTAAATTGAATATAATTTCAGGTATAGAAAATGGCATTCCAAAAGGAATACATTCGCTTAGCGAGTCTCAATTATATTGTAATTAGGCCTATACGAGATATTTAGAGACCCAATATTATACAAGGACGATAATATCGGCAAGTAATTATCAGTAAATACTAATACTTGTAAGTTACCGGTCACATGAAATCAAAATCAAGATCTTCCTAAATAAATAATCACAGCACAGAGGCAAATTTTCGGCACCGACGCCTGTTTTTATGGCATTAGTAAGGAGGTGGTTATTGTTACTCCTAATTCTGATTAAATCCAGATTGGTGTAACTATTAGCCACTGCTTTATTTTTTACTATTCAAGGCCAGGGAACTAAAAAATGTAAACTGACTACTTACTATTAACGACTCGCTTGCAAATACACTAGAGCATGGACCCGTATTATTCGCCAAGAGATAACCTCCGTGGCGGGCTACAACTGGAAAGGCATTTTCGCTTTCCAACATGTTGTACGGTTGGAAATCCAGTATCCATAACTCATCCTGGCCTTCCGTATCCTCAACTACAACATCCAGTGTCACAATACCTATAGGAAACAGAATAAATAGTAATACCACAAATATTTACGACGAAAATAGTGTCAAACATGAACCCATTCGTAAATGGAAAAATCCTATTCCTGCCACAAGTCGTGAAAAATCTTTTCTGTCACTAAGATTACATTCACCACTATAGTTGTCGAGGGTCACCATCTAGTTCAGAACAGGGAATACGACTAAACACCATTATAAAAGATAATTGTCAAATATGTCGTAAGTGGTTAGTCTATAATTAACAAACTGGAGGCTTATTGAAACCCATTTTATTCCAACAAATAACAACTAAAAGTGTATAAAAGTAAAAAAAACGAAAACGAGATTATGGTCCGATGTCCAGGCTTACCGTCTTCTATCTCGAAATTTCCGATTGATGCTTGCCCCATTTTTTCCAAACGTCTGTCTACGCCATGGTTAATCGGCACGCCAAACTGGCTATTGCACTGGTCAAACACAACAAGAATAAAAAATGAAAATAGGGATACAAAGGACCACATTGTGTTCCTCACTAGTTCACGTATCGCGCAGAAACCACAAAAATGCTGGAGTTAACTATTTGTACTCGAAAAAAGATCGTTCCATTTTTGTGCTCATGCTACATTTTATCTTTTATTCATTTCATACTGGACATACGCTACTGAATGTTAATATTAGCATTACCCGAATTCTCTGTTAACTGTTGACTCTTGATTTTCTGCCATAGATATATTTACGCATCCACTGGAATAAGTATCGTTATTGATTAGTGGTTCCTGATATATCCCTCTTTAAAAATCGATCAGTCGATATGGTTCCAACTACAACCAGGTGGATATCTAATGCATTCCTTTTCTTTGATTTACATCTGTCCGTGTAAAAAATACAATAATGATGCAAGCACAATATTGTGTATGCTGAGCCTAGTTTGTATTCCTTATCCGAGAAATCTTGTTCCATCACGTCACCATTATCATCCTTATCATCGTCATCACCATCTTTACCAACATTATTATTAATTTATGATAATATTTTTATGGGTTGAAGAATCAATTATGTTTGCTAGCTATTAAAGTCAGGCTCCGGATAAAAAATGTTTGTTATGTTGTAGAACTGCTTTTTCTAAAGTTATTTAACGAAAAAACTTGAGAACTGTTAATGAGATACAGATTTTTGAATATTTAAACACTGTTGGGGGTGGGGGGAGAGATTTTGGTGTGTTTGCTTTATAATAATATCTGATTATAATATTCTGTGAATACCGAAGTAAGCATACTATTAGTACATAAGAGTTCAGCGATAATCTGCACAGTCAATAACAGCCTCCGTGGCCTAATGGATAAGGCATCGGCCTCCTAAGCCGGGGATTGTGGGTTCGAGTCCCGTCGGAGGTGTTCTTCTTTATTTTACTTTAAATTTTTAACACTAAGTTCAATGCTTGTTTTATATAATATTAAGATTTTAAAGTTTTTCTTTTGTTTCACAATGTCTGATTATAATTTGCTGTCATAATATCAAAATTCCTTCGGAGTTTCAGCATACTATCAGTATATACCAATAGGCAGGCCTTTCAACAAAAGCCTCCGTGGCCTAATGGATAAGGCATCGGCCTCCTAAGCCGGGGATTGCGGGTTCGAGTCCCGTCGGAGGTGTTCTGTTTTATTTTTACTCTTACTTTTTGTACTGCTTTGTGGATTGTCCTGCCTATTTATATACGAAATGCACCGACATGTTGTATTTTTAAACAAGGTGTAAATCCATGGCTTCTATAACAACCTATTTGGAAATTTTTAAAGTTGGAAGTGTGTGCACTTGGTTTTCCTGCTGCCGATGTGCTAGATGCAGGTCCTAATTTTCGTTATTATGCAAGCTGGTTGTTTTTAACGATCTTCTGATGATAATGTATCTTATATTTATTTAGTGTTTTTTTTAAATTCAGTTTACCTGTATGTGCAATAAGGGGATTGCTGTTTCAGAGGTGTATTTCACCTGTTAGCCTTTCCCTTCCTCCCTTTTTATGATGTTTTCTGAAGTGTTCTTGTTGGCAAGAGAAATGAAAAAAAAAATCAACACTCAAATCAACACTTGTTTTATATTATATTTAAGATTTTTTAGGTTTCGTTGTTGTGTGCTTTCGTTTAAAAAATGATGTTTGATTATAAATGTTTGTGATTTTAATATCACAAAGTTTCTTCAGAGTTTTGTCAGAGTACAGTAAGCATAAGAAACGCATAATAGCGATAGTCTGCCGCCTTGAACAACAGCCTCCGTGGCCTAATGGATAAGGCATCGGCCTCCTAAGCCGGGGATTGCGGGTTCGAATCCCGTCGGAGGTGTTCTGTTTTATTTTACTTTTACTTTTTGTACTGCTTTGTGGATTGTCCTGTCCTGCCTATTTAAGATTTTTGGGGTTTTGTTGTGTGCTTTAGTTTAAAAAATGATGTCTGATTATAAATGTTTGTGAATTTAATATCACAAAGTTTCTTCAGAGGTTTGTCAGAGTACAGTAAGCATAAGAAACGCATAATAGCGATAGTCTGCCACCTTGAACAACAGCCTCCGTGGCCTAATGGATAAGGCATCGGCCTCCTAAGCCGGGGATTGCGGGTTCGAGTCCCGTCGGAGGTGTTCTGTTTTATTTTACTTTTACTTTTTGTACTGCTTTGTGGATTGTCCTGTCCTGCCTATTTAAGATTTTTGGGGTTTTGTTGTGTGCTTTAGTTTAAAAAATGTTGTCTGATTATAAATGTTTGTGAATTTAATATCACAAAGTTTCTTCAGAGGTTTGTCAGAGTACAGTAAGCATAAGAAACGCATAAGAGCGTAGTCTGTAAGTAAGTAACTTTATTGCTTCTGTTTTATAACAGAGGCACAGCCGTAAAGACGTGCAACAAAATAACAAAATCAGTAAAAACTTAATAACTGTAATAAAATGCTATGCCCTCAACAACAGCCGCCTCCGTGGCCTAATGGATAAGGCATCGGCCTCCTAAGCCGGGGATTGCGGGTTCGAGTCCCGTCGGAGGTGTTCGTTGTTTTTTTTTTATTTGACTTAATTTTCAGCACTAATTGTTTAAAACTTATTTTACATAATGTTTAATATTTTGGGGACTTTTTTCTGCCTTTATACTAATGTCTGATTATCATCAGAGTAGGTCCCGCATTAAGCATACACTATAGACATAATGGTTCAGCGATAGCCTGCGCAGTCAGCAACAGCCTCCGTGGCCTAATGGATAAGGCATCGGCCTCCTAAGCCGGGGATTACGGGTTCGAGTCCCGTCGGAGGTGTTTCTTTTTAGCTTTCTCAATAGTAATTGTTAGACCTAATATTTAAGGTTATGGGGTGTTCTTGTTTACTTTATAATAATGTTTGATTATATTTTTTGTGTCCTCGTGACTCAAGTTTCTTCAGAGTTTTCATCAGAGTATTTTTTGGGGGGTTTGATAATAACGTAAGGTTATAATTTCTTAAACTTGTTTAATGTTAATTGTTATATATGCATTATAAAGTTTCTTCAGAGTTTTGTCAGAGTACAGTAAGCATAAGAAACGCGTAAGAGCGATAGTCTCCTATGCCTTCAACAGCCTCCGTATCCTAATGGATAAGGCATCGGTCTCAAGCCGGGGAGTATAGGGCTATACACGGAGTATAGGCCTAGCATATATTACATAGTACTATTATTAATTAGACGGCTCAGAGGTTCTCTTTATATGTCTTATATGAGTGTGCTGTCTCTTATACACATCTAGATGTGTATAAGAGACAGTTTCCCGTCAAAGGCATTCTATTTTATTTTATTATAACATATATACTGTTTATTGACTGGCAGCCGCTTCGACCAATACCATTTAAATATTTCCTTATTCAGGGAACACGAAAGGAGGTGAGGGGGTTGTGAGCATTGCCACAAGTCTTGACATGACTCTCAAGGGAGACCTGCTCCAATCAAGGGTTACATATTTAAAATTTAAGGTTTTAGGCCTATACAGTACAAGTTGTATGTAGTTATATGTTAACAAGTTATTTTACAGTACAAGTAAGTAGATTTTAATTAATTACAAATTTTTAATATTGATTTAATATAATCAAATGAAGACTTATAAGCCACAGTTAGCCGACGGGATCGTTTCCCCTCTCCTCGTTATCTATAAATATCATTATTATTATCAACAATAATAATAATAATAATAATAATAGGCCTTGTTTTGTACTACAGCAAGAATATAATCTAAGACTCATAAGCCACAGTTAGCCGACCAGGTTGTTTTCCCCCTCCTCGTTATTATTTATAAATACCATTAATATTATCAACAGCAAAAGTATATAAGATAGTATAATACTCACTCCAAGTATAGAAACGCACGCCATCGCATTAATTATGTCATCATCAACATTAGTATATTTTGTGCTACAGCAAGATTTGCTGAAGTTTTTATATTATATGCAAACCTTCGCAAATATTTGAAAGGACTATGATCATTTTAGATCTCATTTAATAATGGAAAACTTACGTTTACAAATGATACATTTTAAGAACGACAGTGTGTAAAAAATGATACATTTTAAGAACGACAGTGTTTAAAAAATGATACATTTTAAGAACGACAGTGTAAAAAAAATAAGCAACACCTCCGACGGGATTCGAACCCACAATCCCCGGCTTAGGAGGCCGATGCCTTATCC